ATGAAATCAATAAATAAGTGTACCATGAAATCAATAAATAAATGTACTATGAAATAAATAAATAAATAAATGTACCATGAAATGAATAAATATATCAATAATTGTTTCTTTAAATAATATATCATTTAATTATTTAATGATTAAATGTATCATTTAATTACTTAATGGAACATTTATTGGTACATTTATTTATTTCATGGGACATTTATTTATTTAATTGTACATTTATTTATTTCTTGATGATTTAAATTTGTAACATTTCATCCTCCACACCTCAACCATTTTACCTTGGAAAATGAACATAAATGGCTATAACTCAGTTAATTTTACATATTTTGAGCTGAAGTTTGGTGTGACAGTAGCTGAGACCAATCCCTGACACACAGTCTTATAGCTAACAGTTTGTACACAACAACTTCATCGTTTCTCACCATAAAGACGATCTTGTTTTAAAAATCTGGCCTACAATATGGCAGGTGACATGCATTCCTGTTAAGAATGTTGGGTCTTCAGTATTGACTTGCTCTGATTTCGTGGCTCTTTTTTTTTCTAACTAATCTATTCACGAATGGCTGATAGAAAGTCCGGGCTTTTTAAAATGGTTATATTGTTGTCAGTAATGAATTCTAAGTACACCCATAGATTGTTTAATATTTTTGTAGTTGGCTATAACAATTGAAAAATAAAAACTCGCCTACTTCTTCATTATAAATCAAATTGCTCAGCTTATTCAGAAGATACGTGCTATGATCTTTGTTGTTTTAGGCCGGTCGTGATAAACAATAAATCAATTAATCGTATGATAAATGAAAATTATCAACCTCATTTTCATTTTCCGGCTTCATCGTTTCTTCGTGTCTCTCTCTTTCTACTGGACACTGGATGACAAAAGGCTCAACTCTGGTGCTCTTCACTGACCCCTCCCATTCTCTTTAAAATCTGTTTTAACTGTTCAAAATCACGTTTTTGGATTGTTAAAAGCAGCTAAGCTGAGAAGTTAAGCTATGAGCTAAGCTAACAGCCCGACCTCAGGAAAAAACCTCCGTCTTGTCGAAGCTCCAAAATTCACAGTTGAAACCCGTGCCTTCGTGTAAAAGTAGTTTTTCTCTGCAAAAAGAAGCCGAGTACTTGTTTACTCATTTTTATTAAAAGCTTTGTGTGGAAAAATGCTGCGCTAAAGAGCTCAAATCACCGCGCGTCCACCATGCCATCATGTCAGCCCACGTCACGTCAAGGGCCCTCCCTCCCATTTTTCTTAAAGAGACACGCTGCTCAACTGTCCATCCTTTGGTTCTGTCTTATACTGCCATCAGGTGGTCATAAAAAGTACTACACTGCAAACAAATCAACTTTTCTTCTAAAATTTGACAATTATTGTTAAATTTCAACCTGTCTTATCGTTTATCGCAATAATTTCTGAGACAATTAATTGCCCAGTAAAGTTTGTTATTGTGACAGGCCTAGTTGTTTGTAAAGTTTTTACATTAAAAAATTAAACTTTATAATTTTTCCTCAGTAAACTCATTGAAATCTGTTCAGTCTCTTTAAAAACATTGTCTTCTTTGAAATATTTCTCAGCATTCTTCTCCAATTCATGTCTTCTTATGCTTTTAGATTTTAGGTAGACTTTTGCTACTTTTAGCTTTTATTTAGCCTTTTGCTGCCTTTAGCTTTTAGGTACCATCCTCCTATTTTCAGCTTCTAGCAAGCTTTTAACTACTTTTACCTTTTAGCTAACAGTTAGTTACTTTTAGCTAGCCTTTTCTACTTTTAGCTGCTAGTGTGTTGCTAATTTGATGTTTTATCTAGTGTTTTGCTTCTTCTAGGTTTTAGCAGATAATCTGTTTCTTTTAGGTTTAATAAAGTTTCAGCTTCCTTGACAGTCATGCAGCTCTGCATATCTCAGAAAATGTCACTTCTCTTGTTCTTCTCTGTTTCTGTCTTCATGGAGTGTCTCTGTTGCTGTGGTGAGTCCATCATCTTGTCCTGCTGGTTCTGTCCCTCCGTCTGCAGGTGCTGGACTGCAGCTTCCCGATGCTCACGGTGGTGTCAGATCGTCTGCTGGACATCTACTGCCAGCTGATCGGGGTCAGACACTCTGAGCTGGACTCGGGTACCCAAGAGAACCCTGATGTCTGTCCCCAGGATGATTCTGAGGACCAGAGCACCCCACTGGAGGGGAGACATCTGTCCCTGAGGTAAGACACAGCTCAGTCCTGGCATGTGGTCTTGGATGGTAGCTCTTGATCCTGGAGAACCAAATGTGATCACATTTGAAACACGCATGACCTGCATCACACCGATCAATGAAACCAGACACTTTGAATCTGTCTCTGCAGCCGCCCCATCATTTATAAGTGAGTGTACTGAAGTACACATTAGAAGTGAATAGGCAGATTTGGACCTGTTTTAATAACTAGTAGTTATCATCAGCGTGGTGTTTAATTGTAGACGTAGAGCTGCAGCCTCAGGTGTTTCCTGTCAGAGGAGAGCTCCTGGTTTATAAACAGCTCTACAGACGGGGTGAGTTGTGCACAACAAAACTCGGGTAGGTTAGAAAAGTCTACAACCATTCTGAGAGACGATCCGTTGCACAGATCTTTTCAGCGTGTTCTATGTTGGATAAAAATGTCCTCTACTCATTTTACTTATTCAAAGAAGCCACACTCGAGGACACGAGGAGATTTTTAACCTGTTTTACTTGCAAGGTCAAACTTTCACAACATGTTACACAGATGTCCAGAAGTTCCACATGCATGGAGCCCAGTTGTGAGAATCGGCCTCGGAAAGTGTGCGAGAATTGTTTTTATAACCTTATCGGCTCACATGCAGACACGGATGACCTCAGCCACACAGCTGCACATGCAGGATCAAATCAGAAAGGTGTCAGCAATCAGTGGCTGTCTAAATGTGATAACATCGTTCAGCTCTTTCTGAGAGAGAAAAGAACTCTCTGCCAACTCCAACACATGGTCCATGGGCAGTTAACATTCTCACCCATAGTAGTTAAAAACATCCATGAACCTTGATCAAAAATCCCCTGATGTTCTAAATTTTGCAAACTGCTTTGACTCGCTTTAGAAATTTGTGAACCCCGTGACCATCACAAGACATTTGGGGGAGATCTTCACAAAAGTTTGTCACCAACTAGACACAGCCTAGTCAGAAATTACTTTAAATAAGCTGCAACTTTTTACAGTGTGGACTTGTTGAATAACGCAGGTCTTACCTTGCTGCTCTGTGTGCACGTAGACTGCACTGTCAAAGCAGCAGGAAAATACATTTCTCTAAGGAAGGCTACTTTAATCATCCATCCATCCATCCATCCATCCATCCATCCATCCATCCATCCTTCCATGCATCCATCCAACCACTCATCCATCCTTGCATGCATCCATCCAACCACTCATCCATCCTTGCATGCATCCATCCAACCACTCATCCATCCTTGCATGCATCCATCCAACCACTCATCCATCCTTGCATGCATCCATCCATCAATGCATCGATCCGTCTTACCCGCTTCTTCCTTTCTGAGTCGTGGGGGTCACTGGTGCTCATATCCAGCAGTCACTGTGTGAGAGGCGGGGGACACACTGGACAGGTCTCCAGTCCATCACAGGGACACATAGAGACAAATGAGACAAACAACATTCACTCTCTCACACACATCTAGGGACAATTTAGAGTTACCAATCAGTCCAACATGCATGTTTTTGGTCTGTGGGAGGAAACTGGAGTACCTGTAGAAAACCCACGCAGCACTGAGAGAACATGCAAACTCCTCCCAGAAAGATCCTCCGGCCGGGATTTGAACCAGGGACCTGCTCACCGAGAGGCGGCAGCTCTACCAACTGAGCTGCCTAGTTTAATCTTATTTTAAACAATTTTACTTTCGCCTTGTTTTTTTTATTTATTTATTTTGTTGCTTTTCTCTTTTTCTACCACATTTGTGCTCTTTTTTAACATGTCTGCTTAAACCCATATTTTCTGCCTTCATCCTGAAGTTACAGGGCCTCGTATGTTGAGGCCCTGTTAGTTTGTTTTAAAGCCTCCTTCTACATTTAAACTACCAGACGGTGTGAGGCTCAGCTCCTCTGAATCTATTTGTAGCGTTGTGGTGCTGCAGTGTTGAAGCGTTATTGATTGTTGCCAGTTAGATGTGAGGCTGAACTCTTTGATTCTTCGGGTCACTGCAGGTCAGACTCATTACGTAACTTTATGAACTCCAGCTCACACGGAGAACCTCCTGCCCTGAGGTTGGGTGAGGTTTCAGCTTACGTTTGGTAAAGACGAAGGCTCTGCACTCTGTGGTACTCCAGTTTGTTGTGGAACAGTGTGTGACCAGTGGAACTGGTTCGTTCTGACGCTCATTGGTGCTTATTCTGGTTAACACTGTTCTTTAACTCGGTGGGTCTCATTCTCTGATGACCACTCCTATTTTTATTGTCTGCTTCAATATGGCTGCTTTTTAAAATTTTCCTGAAGATGGTCACACGGTCCACATCTCATTCTGTCACATGCCAACAGACGGCACACTCTGAGCACATCATCTCGCAGTATCTCTGGTGTGTACAGGTCCAAACTGCCTGTAAAGGCAGCAGGTCATATGCCATCCCTCCAGGAATACCAAGCTTTATTAATTAATTATTTTACTGATAACTGTACGTCTCGTCTGTCCCTAAACACAAGGCTTTTGGATCGTATTGATTTTTACATTGAGTGCATATAAAACATCTTCTGTTGATGTCTCCTGATCGTAACCAGGGACCTCCTGAAATGGTGTGAGAGGATCAGTGTCAACTTTGATGGCACATCGGCAGCCAAAGCGCAGCACGTCTTCCAAGAGGTCAGTGTTTTTTAACGCCTTCAGAAGAGTCGTCAGATGTGCAGCATCAGGACAACATTCAGACCCTGACCCTACCTGAAGACAGTGCTATGCGCTCGCCTCTAATGGCCCCAACCACGAGGTAAAACTCACATTTATCTGGTTTTGTTTTGTCAGGCTCTTGACTGCTTCACATCCATGCTGTCCTGCCCTGGAAGTCGACTGCGAATGTCTCAGATCATTGGAAGTAAACTCAACATCTCCAAAGAGCAGGTATTTGGCCGGGCCAACTTTTTAACTCATAAAAAGCCCAGTCTTTAGACGATCATCAGGATAAGGACTGGATTTCATCATGTCAACGTGGTTCTCTTGTCCTGTTTGTCTCCAGGCCCAGTACTTCTGTCAGATGTACCAGCCTGCCATGGCTCTGACAGAACTCCAGGTCTCAGTGGGCAGAGCCAGTCTGGATCGAAAGCAGTCCGAGTCTGTGCAGCTGGTTGTGTAAGTGGGACATTTTAAATGAGCGACATCATATCAGATTGTTGCTGTGTCATCATTCACCCACTGACAGAAACAAGCTGACCCGTACTGCTAAATTAAATAAGCATCGTATTGATTTGAAACTGTTTTGTGGTAAACAAAGTCCTCTAATGGCTCCACGGGCTGGAGGTGTCCTCATATCCTCATTGATCCTGCCCTGAAACAGACCGGGGTTGGTCATAACCTTTGGCCTGAAAACAAAGGGTCATCAATCAGCCAGAACATTATCAATTCAATTCAGTTCAGTTTGTTTCTATAGCACCAAGTCACAACAGAAGTCATCTCAGGGCACTGAACAGAAACATTCACATACATAAAAAAGACAATTAGCAAAAGTTATTTATCTAAGGAAGCAGCAGACACGTTGAATCTTCACTTCATCACAGTCTCTCATCCTGAGCAAGCACAAAAGAGACAGTGGAAAGAAAAATCTCCCTTTAACAGGAAGAAACCAGCAGAACCAGACTGATGAGTGGCCATCTGCTTCAACCGGCTGGGTTTGAGAGGACTGAAAGGAGGAACAGACACACAATGGCAGGTCCAAGTGAACTTTCTATAGGAGGAAAGATAAAAAAAAACATGTTAAGATAGAAATAATTACAAACCGGTAGAGGAGATCAAGTAAAGACAGCAGCAGAGTGAAGAAATGTGGTCGGTTTGTCCTCCAGCAGTCTAAGCCTATAGCAGCAGAACTAAGGGACAGCTCAACTCTGTAGGATTTATCGCCTGACCTTAAACGTAGACATTGTACCAACTTCACAAGAGAGGAGCCTGATAACTCAAAGATCTGCCTCCCATTCTTCTCTTCTAAACTCTAGGAACCACAAGTAAACCTGCAGTCTGAGAGCAAAGTGCTCTGTTAGGAAAATATGGATCAATAAGATCTGTAATATAAGATGGAGCTAGGTTGTTGAGAGCTTTGTAGGTTAGAGTAAGATTTTGAATTCAATTCTGAATTTAAAATCTTACTTTTCTCATCACACTTATGGCACTGAATATGTCTTCACTGTACCTGCAAATGAGCTTTGACCTGTTGGGACAAGGCTACGAGTCAACCTGTCATGGTTTTTGTGTGTCGCCCCTGGCTCCACTGTTGCACCTGGTCATGGATGTAATTGCTCATTATTCCACTCACCAGGAGGAGGGAGAGCAAGCACAAAAAACAAAGCCTACCTCTGTTCTCCACAGTGTAACTCCTACACACTTCAACATCTTGCACCAAAAACATTCAGGTCTCATTCCCTGTTCATTTAGTTTGAGAAAAACAAACATTCACTAATCAAGTCCCTCAGCTATGGGAACGTCAGCGGACTGCTTGTTAAGATTAGTGTAATAGCATTCATTCCTAACTTGGTGGTAAAGATTTGACCACAGCAGCAAACAGTTGAAGCATTTTATTTCCTCTTTAAGGGATAAGCAAACATTTGCTGCCACTCGACCCTCGGCTGTTCTGCTGGAACAGCTGGCAGTCTGCGTGGCCAAAGGAGAGCCGGTCCTGTTGGTGGGAGAGACCGGAACAGGAAAGACCTCCACTGTTCAACACCTGGCCACAGTGACAGGTGAGTTCATGTTTACAGTCCGAGAGACACGGCTTCTCCTCACCACATGGTAACTTCCTGTATTCTGAACGGTCTTTTAATTTTGAAAACATGTTTAAATTATTGGGTTTGTTATTCCAGGACACAAGTTGCGGGTCATAAATATGAACCAGCAAAGTGATACGGCTGACCTTCTTGGAGGGTGAGTTGGACATGAAACCATCTTTGGTGTAGAAGACAGATGTTTAAAATAATTTGAAAACGGTCTCAGGCCAGCGACTCCACAACTGACTGATTAAATCAAGATTGAATTTAGAAATCTGTAAGTCCTGTAGCAATGAGAACCTGGATGAACGAAGACAAAAATATTTGTTTTGATGGAGACTTTGTGTATATTGATACAATGAGGGATTAAGAAGTGTTGATTTTTGAAAACATTTAGAATTTTAGATTGCTCAAAAGATATTGTGCTTGTATTTTTTTTCCTTTCATTATCAAATTTCTGGAAAACTACATGAATAATTCTGTCAAAATGATCAAACATAAACGGTTTTTGTTGAGAAAAATACAAGTAAAGTATATATTTCTACTGTGAAGTATGTCTGAGCTGTAGAGCTCCAAACACGTTTGGCTTTTCTCATCAGTTTCACCAAAATCTCATTGATCCCAATTATATTGTTCTCAGGTTTTTGCAAAATTTATCTCCATCTTTTGAAGTGTTGACGTGGAAAAAAGGGATTCTCAGAACAGCCAGGCGTAGACTTCGTCAATTTATTACAAAGCTTTGAAGTCACAGAAGATCAATACATTTACAAGTTCACACGTATCAATGCCTTCACCTGTTTGAGGCTCCGAGCTGTTCTGACTTCCTGAACTAAAACTGTTAGTTTTGTAGAGACTTCCTGCTCCCAGTCCCTCCCCACCCTGTCCATCTTATCAGAACCAGCTGCAGTCAGAAGCTGGGAGAAATCTGGAAGGTCGGGGACTCCTGATGAAAGACGTCACTGTAATCATAGCAATCAAAACTTGAGGATAATAGAATTACTCTATCTCTTGCTGTCCCTTTGCTGACCGATCACATGAAGACTGATTATTACGTAGAGGAAGGATCATGGAACATTTGCAAATATTCACAAGAACAATAAAGAGCAGTGAAATAATGGAGCATGGTGAGTGCAAATACTACACGTTCTCTTGAGTATCATTGCCAAAAGTCATCGCACACTGTTTCCAGCCAAGACCCATGTTTTGGTGTATAACTTTAATGTTTTATATCAAAGCTTTGATGACAGAACAAACATTTGCGCTCGACTAACACAAGAGAAATTGAATTTATTGTCAAAAATGCAGGATCAGTGCTGAATGAGTGCTGACATCGTCTGAAGACACTGAAACTGAATTATTAAAATTAAAACAATCAAAACAGATCCAAATATAACACATACTCTAAAACTTAACGCAAACAAAACCAGAGCTAAAAGCTAAAAAATAGCAAAATGATGGATAAAAAAAATTTAATTAGTAAAACTAGCTAAAGCTAAATGAATCAAGTGGCTAGCTCAAAGCTAAAATTAGCAGAGAAGACAATTAGCAAATTTAGAGCTAAAGATAGCAAAACAGTGTCTTAAAAATAAAATGAGCAACACTTTAGCTAAAGCTATAAGTATCAATAGGCTAGCTAGAAGCTAAAATTAGTAGAGAAGTATATAAAAGTTGCGTAATGTTAGCGGCAGCTGAAAGTAGCAGAACACTAGCTAATAGTTAAAAGTAGCATCAGATGACATAAAAATAGAGCAAGGATGCTGAAGCTGATTTAAGAAAGAATGTTTTAAAGGAAATGAACACATCTTAAATGTATTTATAACAGGGACTTTATTTTAATTAAAGCTGTTTTTAAAAAAGGACACATAAAAAAAATAGCAGATCAATCTGAATGTTTCGACAGATGAGTGGTTAAAGCAGAGCAAAGTATGCAGATGTAGGTTGCTCGTACAAACATATGGAATAAAGTATAAAAGAAAACAGTCTAACGCTGACTCAGCATTTGTTTTGTACAAAGGTGCTGAGTCAGTGTTCTGCTGCCGGAGGGCTGAAGTCATGTTTGGTGTCTTTTCTAGGTACAAGCCCGTGGACCACAAGCAGATAGTGCTGCCTCTCAGGGAGGCCTTCGAGGACCTGTTTTCCAAGACTTACTCCAGAAAGCAGAACCTAACCTTCCTAGGTCACGTGCAGACCTGCTTCAGGGGGAAACGTTGGCAGGATCTGCTCAGGCTCATGGACCACGTGTGCAAGTCTGCGCTGGCCAACGAGCTGCGGAAGAAACCAAACGGTACTGAACTACAAAGAAAAGGGTCATTGCTGTCTGCTGGGGGGCAGCGAGAGGCTAACATCTTCCTCTGTGTGTGTGTGTGTAGCTGCCACTCTGCAGGAACAGTGGGAGATGATGGCTTCCAAACTGAGTCAGACTCAGCAGCAGATCCGAGCCTGTGAGTCCTCGATGGTGTTTGCTTTTGTTGAGGTACACACACACGCTCACACACACACACACACACACACTCACACACGCTTGGGCTGTTGTAGAGGCCGCAGCTCTGACCTGTGGGTGGTCTACAGGGAACTTTAGCCCAGGCTGTGAAGAAGGGCCACTGGATCCTGCTGGACGAGATCAACCTGGCAGCAGCAGAGACCTTGGAGTGTCTGAGTGGACTCCTAGAGGGCAGGGCTGGATCTCTGGTGTTGCTGGACCGTGGAGACACTGGTAAGACCTGCCATCACTTGCAGAACTTTGCTGTAGGGATGTTTAATTACAAAATTTCAGACGGCGGCTGTGGCTGAGTGGTTAGAGCAGTCGTCCTCCAATGCGAGAGTTGGGGGTTCGAATCCACCAGCAGTCACATGCCAAAGTGTCCCTGGGCAAGACACTGAACCCCTTGTTGCCTCTGATGTGTGTCCCATCAGTGTATGAATGTGATAAAGCTCTGATTAGTCTCTTTAGAATGATTTGTTCAATTAGCTTTGTAGAGATCTAGTAGAGTGCTGTATGGATGGGTAAATGAGGCACAGATTGTAGTAGAGCTGGACAATAATTGGATATTGATATATCTCGCGATATACTTTTATTCAATAACGATAAGAGTTTTAAGCATATTTTCAATATTTCGATAGGATTACAGCGTTTCACTGACGCATTTCTTTTGCTCTTCGGGTTGAATTAAGTGTAGAACCACTAGACTGAGGAACAGCTTCTACCCTGAGGCTGTTAGACTCATGAATCTCTAACTAGAATAATCACTGTGAAAAACCATATCATGTTGCTGCTGATCTGTTTCATGTTGCTGCTGATCTGTTTCAATGTTGATGTGTTCATGCGTGCACATCTGCTCACAGACTCATGTTCATGTTTGTGCTGATGTTCAATGTTTTTATATTATGAGTGCTTAGTGTATATTTAGTTGATGTTTTTCTTAGTTCATATCTTACATGTTATTACAGTTTTTCTTATACATTTTATTGTTGGATGTAACTGGGACCCCGTGTACATAATTTCGCTCCACCACATGTACCACATGAGGTGCGAATGACAATAAAGAAACTCTGACTCTCTGAAGCGGCCACTTCAGTTTCAACCCGGACAGAAAAAAGTGCGACACAACTACGTAAGTGCGTGGTGACGTAATGTTACGCAGAGCTCAAGTCCAGAAGGCGTTAATGGTAGCAGGCTAAGCTAGGCTAATCTCCAACGAGTGTTAAGCTTTCTCTTCAAAATGAGTTCCCATGATCGTCAGAATGTGACTGAACAATCTTTCACAAGCGGAGAAACAGATGACATCACTGATAAGAGAGAAAAGACTAATTCGCTGGTTTGGAAGTGGATCGGCTTTCTAAGATCCGATAAACTGCAGGTTTCAGTCAGTGTGCTGCAAAATGTGACGGAGAGTCGTTCTAACCAGTGGTGGGAACATCTAACTTGTTCCACTGGACAGAAGATGATGAGTCACATGATGAAGCTCAATAAAAGTTTGAGCCAACGTGTCCCTGAAACACCCCCAGTGCTGCATGCTTTGTTTTGTTGTTTTTATCATTTATTCATTCATTTAAAATAAAAGAAATTCATCAGAAAGAACAAAAAAAACATTGAATGAAAAGGTTGAAGAAAGAAGAAAATAATTCTTATCTGCCCCTAATTTAAAAAATACAAAATAACTAGAAACAAACAACAACCTCGACTTGAACAATCTCCAAACTGAAAACAAAAAAACTTCAGGTATCCTTCACCTGGTACTAAACCTTCCCAACAACTTTAACTATCATCTTTTTAAACATATAAATTGTTTTATAAATGTTTATGGTGATATCAAAGCAATTCATAATCCTGGTCCCTGAATTACAACACAGCTCCTTCACACTAGTTCTAAATGGAGGTTTTACAAACATTTACATTCCCTTAAAGTTATTTTTACAAATTTTAATTGAATATTTGGGGATAATATTTTTGAGCTTTATACATGACTTGTAAAATACTATATTCAACCAAATCATAACATTTTAATAATTTCAATTGATGACATAATATAGTTGTTGGGTGACCATAGCACGTCATACGACTAATAATTCTTATAGCTCTTTTTTTGTAAAAATAAAAAGAGGGTTTGTAATTGTTTTGCTTTTCCCCAAACTTCATTACACTAGATTAAATATGGAACAATCATTACATTTTACAATATATACAAAGCTTTGTCATTCAAAAACTATTTTACTTTATACAGTAATGCAATTGATTATTTTTATTTTTAAGTATTTTACATGAGATTTCCACGTCAGCTTCTCATCAATAACGACACCCAAAAATTTTATTTCATTAACAACGAATTTCAATTCTGTCAATTTTAAAGTTGTTGTTTAAAGTTAAAACTATTAATATTGAAAAAGTTGAGAATTTTATGTTTGACAGTGATTTCAATTTTTTGAAGGATAAATGCAAATAAAAGGTGAACATTAATTTATTTGTATAATTTGTAGTTTTTCTGAGGCTTTTATATTGTTTATATCGATATCGAATTATATCGTTATCGACCGAAATTAAGAGATATATCGTGATAAAAGTTTTGGCCATATCATCCAGCCCTAGCTTGTAGTGTAAAGTGTAAAGCGTTTGAGTATCTTGAAATAAGACAGAAAGGTGCTCTATAAGTACAGTCCATTTACCATTTATAATTATAATGGTGCCTGCAAATTGGTGGATTTTAGAAAAAAAAAGTAAAGTAAATGCAGCCCTACAATAAAATCAAATAAGAACTCGAGCCTGACCGATATGGAAATTTTGGATATCGTCAATACCAATATCAATAATTAGGAGGGGAACGCTAATGTCAATATAATGACTGAATATTTGTGATATTTGTCCACCCCCAAGAATCTAAGTAAACAGCTGCTTTAAAACCTGTTTTAACACTTGGAAGTCTTGAAACAGTCATCCTAACGTGCGTTCACATTTTCTATCATCCACTATTCACCATGAAGTTATCAAGTGTTACAAAAATATAAATTAAAGAAACGTCCTTCCCTGTTCATTCTTTAAACAGTCAGTCAGTATGGTGTAGGTTTAATTAGTATTTACCACAGCAGAGTTTATTTTTCTTTGTAGAGAAGTAAATATTTCAGACAAACATTTCATTGAGGATGGTAAAGATAAAGTTACACTGATATATTTTGTCTCTACGTTAGATTTATTGTTCTGGTTAAAGTTTTACAAGGCAATAGTCTAAGCTAGGTTATCTAAACGTTAACTTGCTAACTTGAAAGCCATGTAGCTAATGACAAACGTGTCAGAGGACTGAAGACAATTTATTATTTTTGATTTGTCTTATTTTACAGATCAGTTAAAATAAAGTTACCATGCTCTGTTCAGCAAAATACGCTCCACAGTATTGCTCGCTGCTTCGGCTGTGCTGAAAGTAAAAGTTAAAGTGAACGGCCATGACTTGAAAGTAGTCTTCATGCGCCCTCTGCTGGATGCATTGTACAATTACACCTTTTGCAAGTAAGGACACGGCTTGTTCTCAGTGTTTATAGCCACGCATAACGGGGCAGTTGTCACAGATAGATCCCCAAACGCCCATATCTGCCTAAAATATCGTCCCAACCGATATAACGGTCAGGTTGTAAGAAGAATGCATGGTAAATGGTGATTTACATTATATATATTAATATTTTTCTTTCCATAAAGTAATAACAAAAATATATTTCTGAGTCGAAGCTTTGTCCCAGTTGTCACACAGGCACATTTATTAACAAACAGCTGTAATTGTACTAAATGTCTAAAAAAATAAACTATTTACATATATTAAATAATAATCCTCTTCAGCTGCGTCGCCTTCGTGATGTTAGTAAGCATGTGTGAAGCAGCAGTGAGGGGCTGTTTGTATTCAGTGAGGGAGAAGGAGGGGCCACGTGAAGTTCACGGTGCAGACGGGCAGAAAAAGGAGAAATACTGTACATGGATTTTCAAGTCTTACAGTGAGAGGTAGTGCGACATTAATAAAGCAGTGGCTTATCATTTCAATTCAGTTTAATTCAGTTTATTTATATAGCGCCAAATCACAACAGAGTTGTCTCAGGGCACTTTACAGAAACATTCACATACATAAAAGCCAATTAGTAAAGTTCTCTATTTAAGGAATCCAGCAGACAAGTTGAATCTAGGCTTCGTTGCAGTCTCCCATCCTGAGCAAGCACAGTGGCAACAGTGGAAAGGAAAAACTCCCTTTTAAAGGAAAAAACCTCCAGCAGAACCAGGCTCAGGACAAGCGGCCATCTGCTTTGACCGGCTGGTTGAGAGGACAGGAAGGAGAGACAGACGAACACAGAATGGTAGGTCCAGATATAGGTCCAGGTGTATCTGAAAGACAAAAAAAAAAAAACATGTTAAGGATAGAAAAAATAATTACAAATACAAAACAGGTTGAGCAGAGTAAGTAAAGACAGTAGCAGAGTGAAAAGTGTGGTCAGTTTGTCCTCCAGCAGTCTAAGCCTATAGCAGCAGAACTAAGGGACAGCTCAGGAAACCCAAGCCGACCCTAACTATAGGATTTAGCAAAAAGGAAAGTCTTAAGCCTAGTTTTAAAACTGGATAATGTGTCAGCCTCACGGACAGAGATTGGAAGTTGGTTCCACAAGAGAGGAGCCTGATAACTGAAAGATCTGCCTCCCATTCTGTTTTTGGAAACTCTAGGAACCGCAAATAAACCTGCAGCCCAAGAGCAAAGTGCTCTGTTAGGAAAATATGGAACAATAATATCTGTAATATAAGATGGAGCCAGGTTGTTGAGAACTTTGGTTAGAAGTAAGATTTTGAATTATATTCTGGATTTGACAGTCCTTAGCGGCTAACAAGACGGCTAACTTTAGCCATCTTGTTCCACAGTTGAGACTGGGACCATGTCTTTAGCGATATGATAAGCTGCTGATTTATTAATGTTGCGTTACCTCAC